CCGGGCTGGATTCGAACCCGCCACCTTAGGTGTATGTGGCTGGCGCCTTAGCCACTTGAGCCACAGGCGCCAAGCCAGTAGTGTTTTTTCTTAAAAATTCCCCTGGTGTTTATGGTCCTCATGCCCCCAGTAAGGTTTTCTCCTTTTTAAACTAAGCCCCCAAAGTTGGAAGGGCAATAAACAGAACATTGCCTCTATTTCAGAGAAAAATAAGAATATGCTTAAAATAGAATTTCTATTTCTAATAAACAGCTAGCATTTATAGTGGAGAGTTAGAAGGGAGTTTCATTTTATCCTTCATTTTCTGAGACAAGTTGTTTAGTTATTAATTTCACTTCCTTGTCAAGGCAAACATATGTTAACTAATCTAGCTTAACAGATAACAATTTTATATGCCAATTTAAAAACCTTTATTAATAAAATATTGCAACTACATAAGATTTATCATAGAATTTATACAAATTTGGTACCCCTAATTGTATCTAGATTTTTTTTTAATGTCAGTTTATTTATCCTAATTCTGTGTTAGGGGTTTGAAATTGATATGATACCTGCTTCCATCAAGCCATTTCTTCCACTATAAATCCAAGAATCTCCAAATTGAGAAAAATGAAGCCAAATCTCAGGAGTAAACCCGTTCCCAAAAACTGCAATTGCTGAAAATCTCATGAACAATAATGAAATGACATTTCCTGCTGCACCAGAAAGGGGCTTAAGTTTTAGAAAACTCACACTGGCTTTTGCATGCTCCTAAGAGAGATCCTTTCTTAAAAAAATAAAATTAAATAAAGCTTAAAGTTCATTTGGCTGTTTAATCTGCAGCTTACAACTGGTGGACACACAACACATGCGATCGGCCAGTGTTCCGGCCTAATTTCTTTTCACAGACACAGCTGCAGCCGCCTTCTCCCTGCAGACCTGAGCTTGGGCAGGAGCCATAAGAAATGGTTTTTCAGATGCTTATGCCCCTCTTCAAAGAATCCCCAGTTTTAAAATTAAACTTAAACCTGCCGAACTCTCTAAACATCTGGGCCAGATGAGAGCTGATGTGTGGGTCCCACTGTGGAATTTCTTATTCTTTATTATAGCTGCCGTGCTGACCTGGCCATTCCATAACCACTGGAAGCCTCTCAGGCAGCTAGCTGAGCCCAAGCAGGTAGTTTTGATGGGGAGTATATGTTTAAGGGACATGCCCACATCCAGCTGATGAGGGCTTTCTAAGCTACTACTCTAAAAAAGAGTTCTACTAACCGGGAGGATAGAGGAAGCCGTGGGTGATATTCTTTTCTGCTAAATAGATGGAACATTTTTGGCTCTCCGAAGGAGCGACCCTGACATCAGCCCGCAGACAGTCTGGGACAGTGGGAGGAAGAGGCGATGTGTTTCCCTGTTGAAAGAGAGAAAGAAGAGAAAAAAAAATTATAGCCACAGTTGTGGCTCACCCACTGCCTTATATGGTGTCACTTCCCTAGAATGTTTTTCATTTAAGCTTTTCCTATTTTCTTAGTGAATCAAGTCTACGCAAGCAATGGGAATGGATGTCTTCAGCAATGTTTTCGTCTGTGGTTCCCTTCTGGTTAGGGACATTGGGAGGGCAAATCAAATACACCTCGGAAAAAACATATTTTGCAGACTGAAACCTGAATTGAGAACAGAGGAATAATGGGAGCTATTGCTAAAAACCAAAATCCTTCCTCAGGATCAGCTTTTAGGTGATGACATATATTGTACTTGTAATTAAAAATCAAATATACATAATTTGTTTTTAAAACATGGATACAAACTAAGTATATTGAGAATGTTTAACCAATTTAAGATTAACTCAGAGAAGAAATAGTTGTCTAAATGTACTTATTTCTAGATTTAAATAAATTTGCAACTATGTTTCACTCATCATATCTTTTACAATTTCTTTGTAACTCTCTTTAAAGATTAGTATAATAATTTATTGACCCAGGGAAAGGGGTGGGGCATTCTATAAATGTGCCACCTAACTCAAGTATCTAAAGTAAGACTGCATTACAAGATCATCATATTTTGAACAGCATGTAATCACAGGTACAATTTGCTATGTAATTTTCTCAGAGATTTTGACTTATATGCCCTCTACTGCCCACAATAGATACCTTTCTTAACAAAACTTGACATAATTCATATTTTAAAAGTTAAATTAAATTAGGATTTCCTTTCTTTATTCCCTGCATTGTGCTGAAAGCATAATTTAGATATGGTGTCTAAAATGCATGAGTTCCATTCACCAAAGACAACATATGCTGTATGCTACACTCCCAGCCAAGAGAGTACCACGCTGCAGTACAGAAAAGGAAGGAGCACAAGAGGAGAGGAGTCCCCTAACATCTGCAATGTTCCAGCCAGAAACCATTATACAGAAATTGAGTCAATGTCTTCACTTGATTGAATAGATGCATTTATCTTGTTCCCTTCTAACAATAAAATTCCATTAACAGCACAGTAATAATGAGGACACATGAAAGATGACAAGAAATGTTCAGAACCTGGAAATTAAATACACAAAGATAAACACATAGTAACCTGATTAGTACATCAGTACACACTGACGACCAAGATCTTACATTGGGGGAAAGCACCAAGAAGTAGATTCCTACTGTAGAACCCCAGAGAGGCCCTGGACAGTTGGTGTGCATAAAGTTAGAACCAGAGGCTAGGTACAAAGTCTGCAAAACAGGCCAGATAGTATGTTGACTCTGGAGAGTCTGAACTGGAAAGAGGACCAGATTAATGGGCACTGGTGCAGTGAGGACCAGGTACGCCATATTGAAAGCAATGGGATTAAATAAAACTCTACATACAGAATGACAAATCTCTCCCAGTCTCATTGCCTTAGGTAGTATGCAAATCATATACACTAGGTCAAATTAGCAGGAAAATAATTTCCTCTTTTTGAAAAATAAAGCCCCAAAAGAAAACTAGTTACTTTTAGTTGGGAGTTCCCTCCCAAAATTGTTGATTCTCTTCCTGACAATCTATAGTGAAGCCTATCAGCTGGAAAGCCCCAGCTAAGTATTTTCTGCCCCACCCTTAGAAAACCATGTACAAACCGATAGCCGAGGTCTACTAGACAGAGGGAGAAGAAAAAGAGTCAGTGCAGAAAGCAGAAGAAAACACTCTTCTCAGAGAGCTGAGAGTACACACAGCACCCATAAAGAAATAGAAAGCAGTAAAAAAGATAGCAGAAAAATCTCTTGAGATTGTAGTCCCAGTTACTTGGGAGGCTGAGGCAAGAGGATCACTTAAACCCACAAGTTTGAG